CCCCAAAACCCCAAAACCCCGAAAAGTAAACCAACCTAATTAATTAAGTATTAAACTAATTTGAAATTAACTAAAGTGAGAATTCAATATATATTATCAGAAAAGAGCATTCTCTTATTTCTAACTATCATTGGGCTAATTTGTTTTCTAGCCTTTCTAAGTAAGTCCTTGTCTACTGCAGTCTCTTAGTCCATATTAGCTAGAGTTTTATAAGCGTAGAAATCGATATTCTTTTGTTTTGATTGAGATCCATTATTTCTTGCTGTCAATATTTGTCTACTCTTAAATTCACCTCCATTTAAGCCTGAAATAGCATCGTTAACTAGATTACTGGCCTTTTTGATCTTCTTTATTTTTGGTTTGTTCATTTCCAATATTTTTGCCAACTGCTGCTGCTATAGGTAATCCTTCTTTTGCTTGTAAGCAGTATTCAAAAAGATTGACTCGTCTCCTGCCAAATATGATTACTTTTTGACACTGTTCTTCATTAAAGCATCGAAAAGATTGAATTCATTTTAGGATGCTTAAATATCTTCGAGCTTCTCGGATTTTAGTGTATCTTGATTTTGAAGTGCTGATTGACTGTTTTACTACTGTTCTTAGAGTAGGAGAGCACCGATTAGATTCTTATTAGAATCTTCTTACTCAGGGATCTGTACATATTGCTTGAAGTCAATGCCTAGATAATCCTAAGGTAGGATATCTTTAATCTTAGTCTGATTAAATATCAGGGGGTTAATCATCCTCACTTTTTCAGAAACAGAAATCATATGTTCAAGCCTTAGACCACAGACAGAGAGTATTTAACTCAAATTTCTATCAGTTATCTATGGTGTATTTTAATGTCTTTATTCATCTTGATCTGAGATTTAATCTTAATTCTGGTTGAATTTATTATTGCACTGCATAGCGATTCTAGAAATAGCTATCATTGACATAGCTTTCAATCTCTTAACTCGCTAGTACTTTCTCAGTGCCTCTTCTTTCAATTCTCTTGCATGCATAATCTTTTCTTTAATCATATCAGCATTTTCATCTCTCTTATGGATACTAAGTTGCTATTAATCCTCCTGCTTTTCCTCAGTATTTGCTTCAGTAACAATTTTTGCTTTATCATTTTTACCATCCAAATACTTCAATTTAACCAGCTCTTTTATAGCTTCTAACTTTGTTTTAAGTAATATTTCTCTTTTTAACTACAGACTGTGTTTGATATCTTTCATTTGTTTAGAAACGAACTCCAAATCGTTATTGTAATCTTAAAGATCCAATATTTCTTTAAGATTGCAGCTTTTCTATAGCTTTAGCAGATCTTGCTAGTATTTCATTTCTAATTTATAAGCCTCTTGCTTGACTTATTCTTCCTGCTCTTTCTGCTTGAGAACCTCTAGATTTCTCTATCTAAGATAAATCAGCTTTTGCCTTATCTTTTCTGATTCGTCCTTTTGCTTAATTTTATCCTGATTTTTGTATATTTCATGAAATATCTACTTTTACTCGACTTCTTGCAAGTATTACTATAGTTGATTGTTGATTATCGTATTTCTAGACTTCTGCCTATTGGTAACTTTCTCTATTTATTTTTACTATATGACCACCTCATTTTCTAAATTTAGAGTGATTACCTCCAGTTATTTATAAGTGTGATCTGCATCTTTATGCTCTTTTTTAAGCTTTTAAATCGGATTCTTATACCATAATATCGTCTTTTTCTCCCTCTAAATCATGTTGTCCAGTGTTTCTAAATGCATCTCTTCCATCGTTTACTTTACCTCATTTTTCTAAACTTGCTCGTCTAGCTAGGCCATTTTAAGTTAAAGTTGGTCCATATCTGAGAGCTGTTATATCTACAGTTACTCTAATTATTTATTCATAAACTCAATCTCATCCTTTCTTCTTTAAGTTTCGTACTTCATGTCATTTAGCTGTTGCACATTCAATAGGATATGCATTTTCATGTCTTTGATGTCTTTCTGAACCAATTTTAGGCTCTCTGCATTTTTTACATACTAATTTATAGTGCCCTAATCTTTTTATTCGAATATATCCTTAATAAATTTTGCTATTTCCTTTTTTGTGTCCCCTAGCATATGCTTCAAACTCAACTTCTCCACGTTCAATTCTTCATTCTTGCCACCTTCTATACCATTTTCATTAGTCAGATTGCTGCTCAGTTTTCCTAGTCTGGGCTGAATTTGCTTATTTGATTGAAGCAATATTGAGCCTATGTTACCTTCTTCATAATCAGCTAGAAGGTTATTTCTTGTGAAACTTTTAATTTTTCTTCTGTTTTTGGCTTAGGATTGTGCTCTTTTTACAGATTTCATGACCTTTCCCTTTGGAGCATTGCTGTCATAGATTGAAAAAGCAGATGTTTTATTAAAACCAAGTAGGTTCTAAGCTTGAGCCTAGAGAGACAGCATTGATCTTTTATTCTGAGAATTCACACTAAGTCTAGGCAAGTGATTCTAGTCAGACCTTCTTTCTCTAGTTGTCTAACTTCCATTAGGGATGTTTTCTCTTTAGCTACTTGCAGAAGCCACTTCAGTAATAAATACTATAAATTTTAGAGTTTATGATGGTGGGATAGATACAATTATCATTTTGCTGCAAGGCTGTGAGATGCTTGCGATTAGAATTTAGCATTTTAGAATAAAACAAATATTTATGAAATTAGATTAATTATTTTAATTAAACCTTTGCTTAAAAGCATTTTCAATTATAATACATCTCAAGCATCATTCCCTCTTTAATTTCATAGTCCTCAAGCGTAATTGGATCTTTGTATATTTAATGCTACTTTTGCAGTTTTATCTTTTCAGCTCTGACTCCAGTCTAAGCGCTAATCAGCTGTTTGAGACTGAATACTGTGTCAGTAGGCATGCACTTGACTCTTACTTTTTGGCCCAGTCTGTCATTCACTATAACCTCCATCATTCTATTTTCACTTGAAGGAGGAGCCAAGATTTTAAGTTCATGAGGTTTCTTAGGTCTGTTTTTAAGTTCTTCCTCGCGCTTGGCTTTCCATTCAGCTTCTTTTTCCTTTCTCTTTTACTCCATTTTCTCCTAATAACTCTACTCCTTGCGCTACTTATACTCAAGCTCTCTTTACTAGTCTCTGTCTCGATGTGATTCTCTTTTATGGTCTCTGTCTCTATGGTCTCTGTGCTCCTTTAAATCTCTATCTCTATGTCTATGCTTGTCTCTGGGAGATCTCGATCTCGATCTAGAATGTCTATGCTTATGCTCCTTCTTTTTATGATCTTTTTTATGATGTTTGCGATCTCTGCTATCTGATCTAGACCTACTTCGTCTGTGTGATTTTTTCTCACTTTCTTTTAGTGCTTAACTTTCCATTATATATTACAATAATTTATTTTTTGTCAAAAATTAATAAAAAGTCTCCTACATGGGGTTTTGGGGTTTTGGGG